AGTGCATAGACACAAGGAAGCTGAATTAAGGTTGCACAGGAAATTGTAAGTTCTGGAATTTCCTAATTTGCTTGATATTGCAACCTTAGTAATGGGTGCTGGCAACCAACGGCAGCCCCTCTATCAACTCCCCACGCAGCGCCTCCCACCCGCCAGCAGGCCCCACGGATCAACGCCGCCTCCTGCTCCTTCCCTGCACCTCCTGCCTGCCACTAACAGCTGTGTCGCAGTGGGCAGGAGGCTGGGAGTAGGGGGGAGGAGTGAAGATGTGATGTGCTTGGGGGAGGGGGTGGAACTGGGTGGGAAGAGGCAGGGGTGGGGTTTTGGGGGAAGAGGTGGAGTGGGGGCGGGGCCTGGGTCAGAGCCGGGGGTCAAGCCGCCCCCCAGCACTTTGGAAAGTCGGCGTCTGTGGGAGCAGGGATTTGAAAATTGTCAGGGATTTGCCTTTTGCCATTCCCATGAAAATCTAGCCATATTTGGTCAAGCTATGAGCCTCTGAAAAATTGCAGTTTGTACATGCTCAGGAGAAGCTCCTTAGATTTTGGCAGCTAAATCCCCAAAAATTAATTGGAGGTCTAGGCTGCTGTGGGCTGTGCCAGGTCTGGCTGCAGGCGCCCAAACTGGGCGCAGGGAGACCTTCTCTCCTGTGTTCTCAGTGACCCCCCTGCGGGGCCTAGGCAGCATGGAGGAGGAAGCTGTCACAGAGTTGGGGCTCTGCAGATTTTGCCCACCTGCCACCTGACAGGCAGATGTAGAACTGGGGAGTCTAGAACCCCAGGGAGACGGGACTGGAGATTTTAAAAACAAAGCAAAACTCTGTTTTGATTCTTCCACAGGAAATTTCGCGTTTGACTTTTTGTTCCAATTTGGAACATTTTTTTCCCCAGAAATGTGACATTATTTAAAGGACTAACGTGCCAGTTTTCATACAGCTTTAATTGTGATACAGTCTTTAAGTACATGATCATATTCTATTTTTTCCATAGGAGGCCTGCCTCATTCAGTGGACAGGTTATACCTGCTCTTGGAATCACTCAGGATGGTTTATTGAAGGAGGCAGTTGTTTGTAGGATGTTTGCTCTATTTGTTGCCGAAATTGAAAGCTGTGAAGTGAATGAGGCAGGGGACTGCAGGAAGAGAAAGGATGGTCTCAAGGTGAAGGCAATTGAATGCTCCCCTGGAAAACTGCATTCTATCCCTGCCTCTGCCACAGCGTTCCTATGTGATGCTAGGCAAATCACCTAAACCAAACTTTTCACAGATAGTCACTAAATGTGTGTTCCTCATTTTTGGGTGGCCAACTTAATACATTGGGGACTGATTTGCAGAAGTGCTGAGTGCTCATAGCTGCAACTGAAGTCAATGTGAGCTATACTTTGAACACTTAACGTGTTCTGTAATGCTAAGGCATCTCAAATTGTCCGTCTAAAATTAGTGGACATTTTTAACCTTTATCTCTCTGGACCTCAATTCACTGTCTATAAAATAGGGTGTTGTGAAAATTAATGAATTTTTGTGAAACACTCAGATATTATGAGGAAGTTTATAATTCTGTCCTCAGAGCAGGGTTTGAATAGTGTGCAGAGAATAGGGAGAGGCACACACTGAACAATTAAAAGAAAACAAGCTATTAAATAGCTGCTCATGAACTGAGCACCATTCATCCTCTGCATTGAATGAGACAGGGCCCCCATGGAAAAAAATAGTATCCGATCATGTAATTCAAGTGCATAGACACAAGGAAGCTGAATTAAGGTTGCACAGGAAATTGTAATTCTGGAATTTCCTAATTTGCTTGATATTGCAACCTTAGTAATGTTCTTTTAACATAGTTTTTGTGTGTGTATTATTTATATAGTGCCTTAAAAATATAATATGCGAAATCAGTGCTAAGTATTATTCCATGATATCCATGGAAATTCCATATCTATGGATTTATCTGAGCCCTGATGCTGACTAAATACATCACTATAATAAGCTTTGGAGTGTATGACTGTTTTCTACCTTTGCCTTATGGAAATATATTCTGTACATGTCTGTCATGCATTTATACTCAATATATTAATCCAGTAGATGGTGCTGCATGTCTATATATTTCAGTGTTTGTTTGTTTTTTAACAAGAACTCAGTTGTCAAGCTCCTCTGTTTAAAATGGAGAGTGTGATTCCTAGTGAAAAAAACAAACAGAAAATGCTTCCTTGCTGGTAAAAACTATGGGTGCTGTATTAGAGCTTTATGGAAGAAAAGAGAAGTAATTTTGAACAAAATAAGACTATAACTTGACAAACAATTTCCCCAGCTTATTCTCCCTCTGAAATGATTGAATCTTTGGTTACACTGACCACTGTGTTCATTTGTTCAAAATATATAACTGCAAAACCACAGTTATTCGGCTTTGTAAAGATTTCAAGTTTCTATTGTATCTAATAAAAATCTAGTTTTAGACTTACTGATTTTGATTATGTTCAGTGCATTAAACTGCACATATGCATGAAAATAAAGCTTTTCATGATGGTTTGGCTTCCGATAATGACTATGGAGGTAAATTTGTTACCTGTAAACAGAGAGAAAAAACAAATGTGTAGACATTTCTTGAAAAATGTCTGCAGTCTGTATAGGTCAGCAGGAAAAACAATATCTTATTTAAAAGGCTGTTGCCTACTTTTAAGGGCATTTAAAATTAAAGCTGGAGAGTATTTTAAACCAAAGCTACAGGATTGCAAGTTAATAAAAATAAACCAAAAGATAATATATTTTACATATGGCTCCTTTCATGTGGTGACCTCAAAATGCTTCACAGCACTCAGGAAGGGAAGTATTTTTAGACCTGCTTTACAGATGGGTAAACTGAGGCGGTAGGAAAATGAAAGAAGCCAAGAATGGGAAAATGAAATTAAGGGGAAAGCAGGAATGAGAAGAAGAACAGGAGGATATGAGAGTATAAATGCAGGGCTGACACTGCAAAGGTTCTGGCATTGTTATCTGATTTGAGATGAATATAAGTAAATATGAGGGATCAGGAAGAAATTGTGGTAATTTCTGCTTGTATTAACTAAAAACATTATTTCTTTATTGCACCCTGTAACTCCCTCCTTGAGTAGGTAGAAACCGATTGCACCATAAAGTGATGTACTCAATATCCAGAATCGTTGTGGTATCAATTCTAGAACGTGCATTAATTGCTAGTCAATTAATCAAATCAAATTGGTACCAGCTTTTATTTCTTCCATAATAAAGAGAATCTGGACCAAAATCAAACACTCTTGAACACTGTGGAAGTCTGGATCTGGATCTGGATCTGAACTTTGTGACCCAATCCCTCTCTACTCTATGATGGTCTCCAGTAGAATCTCTGAGGACTGGTCTACGCTTAAGTTTTTCTGGCATAGCTGTGATGGTTAGGAGTGTGATGTATATTTTGCTGACATGGCTATGTGGCCAAAAGCCCTAATGTAAACAGAGTTAAATCAGCATAACTGCACTTTTATCAGTGTGGCTTGTTTCATTTAGGGATGGTGGAATAATTATACTGGTGTAGGCTCCAGCTTTGCCAGTATACGAGTGTCTACAGTAGCAGCACTTTCCCAGTATAGTATATTGATTTACTTTCAGCAGTGAGGGGCTCGTAGTTCAGACATGACCTTAGTTATGGCTAGGAAAGTAGAGAACTGTCTTTATAGCCCCTGTTAGCGTCGGCCAGTTGAGGGCACCAAGACCGCAGTCAGATCTATGCCCAGTGATAAGGTGGTACATTTTCAAAACATTATTCAGAAAGTGTTCACGTAAAACCCATTGCTAGGTTTTATTTAATAACCTTCTAACCCCCACGCTCTCTCCTCCTCCGCCCCTGTGTTCCTCTAATGTCTTTTACAGCTCTTGCTGCACAGCATGAAGCCTTAGAGCTGTATTCATCAATGACTCACACCCTTGCTTAGGGGCCAATTTTCATAGAAGCTATATAGGAAAATCTTGAAATGCACCTCTCCCATGCAGTGCACAAAATGATTTTTGTATTCATTACTCTTCTAAAAGGACTTGTTGCCCTTTGGAAATGTGCAGTTATTAGTTATATGTGTGTGTGCATGTGCAGAGCTTAGAGGCCACGTTTGAATGCTCTAAAAATAAAAATGTATCATCATTATTATCATTGACACTAGTCAATTGAAAGGTAACTACAGACCTGGTTAAGTTGAGTGGCAGTAGGCAAATGCAGAGGAGTTAGGACTCATCTGGTTTAGGTTAACAAATACCATAGACTCTTAAGCACTAAACTTATTAAAAAACATTCTCACACCTGATAATGATTAGTATCCTTGTCCGGAGTTTTAGGAGGGAAGCCAAAGACTGACTATAGGAGATTGAACTGCTCTCTCACCACTAGAAATTATTCCTCAAGGTCAAGGTTAAAGCACATTTCTGAAGCAGTGAGGGGAAACTTACTTCTTTCACTAAAAAAGCCATGTGTTAGAATTTACCCACTCAAGCACTTAACCCTTGCTGACGACCGCATCATGAAAATGGTTAGCCATAACAATATTTCTGATAGATCACTTTTGACAGGGAGGGATTTTTGTATTAAAGAATTGTAAACCATAGAAAAATAGTTATTTATGCAGAGGTGGCTATCTTACTGCAGAATTACTTTTAGCAATTTTGGAGAAGAGACAGAGAGCTTGATTCTCCACTGCTTTGCACAATGTGTTGTTGTGTACACCTGTACAAAGTGGGCCTGAATCACCACAGCATTAATCTAGTTACTCCTCTGTAAACAGGTATAAAACTGGAGTAATACAATGGTGATTTCTGATTGGGTTGCATTTGACACCTGCTTTGCACTGGTATAAATGACAATGCAAGGTACAGTCAGTGAAGAAATAGGCCCTGGTTGAGATAAAGACTGATACATCATGTTTATCCAGAGTAGCATTGGTGTTCCTGTTCAGTAATTCCATTTATTCAAACACCTTTATTTATAGTCTAGACAGATTTGTAGAGTGTTTTGAGGTTCGTTAGCACTAATGACAGGTTTCAGAGTAGCAGCCGTGTTAGTCTGTATCCGCAAAAAGAAGAACAGGAGTACTTGTGGCACCTTAGAGACTAACAAATTTATTAGAGCATAAGCTTTCGTGGACTACAGCC